AAGCAGCTCGGGATTTTGCATTAATCTCTCACTCATGCCCTCACAAAACTCCTGTCTTCGGTCAAAATCATCCTCTTTGAATTCATGAACAAGTTTAATTTTGTAAGGATGGAATTTGTGGTTTTTGAGGCTTCTCCATGCGTTCATATGGCTTATTCCGGCCATTGTTGATAAACCTCTGGTACTTAACCTGGGATTGGCGATGACTTGACCAATCACTCCAATCGCATTATCGTCATTCACTACCCTTCTCTGAACATTTCTTTTCTTATTAAAAACCGAACCTGTCTCCCTGAATTTTGTGACCAAATCCAGAACGTGATTTCTGCTTAGGTGTTTACCAGGGTTTTGCTCGTTAAATAAAATTGATGTTCTGTGAGCATTTTGGTAGTTACCAAAAAATAAAGCAATAACTGAAACCCTTTCAGCAAAACAATCGAACGATGTACTAATGAAAACTGGAAGAAGAGGATTGGGTATTGGTTTTAAAAAAGGGATTTTATTTAACAAAAAACTGATAGGAAGAACTGCTCGAAAATTTTTTTATTTAGGCATACCAGTTACCGAGTGGTCTGTCTAATGTATTATTAACATGGCAATTTTAACTTCAAATTATCTCGAAAACTAATCGTTACAAAAATTTTCTTTTAACAAAGTTGTAAAGGTATTCGAAATACCTTTAAAACAATGTACCACTCGACCTACTTTCCCTATCTAAATAAGGGTCGTCAGACGCACCCCTTCGAGGGGGTGCGTCTGAACAGATTATAATTGTATAACTTCAAAATATTATCCATAGATGACGCCCAAATCAAGTACATATCTTTCGTGTAGCTTCTACATTATAACATATAAGAAGATAAAAGGCGAAGTTCAATTTACATGATGGCAAGTCATAATTCAATTGCTCCTCCACTTAACCTCAAAATAAGACCGACTTGGCTTTTTAGCGGGGTTATTCGTGATATTCTTCAGTTTACTTCGAGAGCGCGTTAAATAAACAGCTATACAACATGGAAGCTAGTTGTTCGGGAATCGTGAAGCGCCCGAAATTGTCACCATTAAATATAAATGAAAAAGCAATTATTATGAATGTATATAATTCTCTAAGAATATAATATCCGCCCGAAATAAAAAATAAGGAGGAAGTAGTGCAAAATTGCGCGAGTATGGCCGGTGTCAATTGATCGACAATTTTTAGAATTCTCAAGGAACTCAAGGAAAACAACAACTTTTTCGAGCCGAAAGTATCCATTGGTAGAAAGTGCTTGGTTATTGATGAAGAAGTGAAGAATTCTATCAGCAGAACAGTACACTCGTTTTAAATGAAAAACGAAATACCTACATTAAATAAAGTTTTGTCAGTTATTATTTAAGACAGTTATTTTCCTGATATAAGAAGAACTCGATTATGGAAGATATTACATGAGCTGAATTTCACACTGGAAAGCAAGATAGAAAAATCATGTTAATAGAAGAATCAGAGATTGTAGAATGGAGAAGAAACTTTTTAAGAGAAATAAAGAAAGTAAGAGCACTAGGTAACTCTACTTTTTATTTGGATGAAACATGGGTCAACGAGGGTCATACCGTCTCGAAGGTTTGGCAAGATCAGAACATCAAAAGTGGAAGACAAGCCTTTATGGAAGGCTGGTCCACTGGTTTGAGAATTCTAGTTGGAAAAGGTCGTCTTATCATCACTCACATAGGCAGCTGTGAAGGATTCGTGAAAGATGGATTGATGGTGTTTGAATCGAAGAAAAATGGGGATTATCATCAAGAAATAGATGCCACAGTATTCGAAGAAAGGTTTAAAAACATACTTGTGAAACTTCCGCAGGGATAGGTGATAGTAATGGGTAACGCAAGTTACCATAGCAGACGAGTGGAGAAGCTGCCGACGTCCTGTTGAAAGAAAGCATATATTACTGAGTGGTTACAAATGAAAGCTATTCCTTTTGAATCGACCATGTTTAAAGCAGAGCCCCTCAACTTGGCTGAACGTCATAAGTCAAAATTTGTCAGGTATGTCACCGATGAGATAGGAAAGAAAGAAATGTCGGTTCTTAGGTTGCCGCCTTATCACTGTGAATTGAATCCAATAGAGTTGGTTTGAGGTCAAGTTAAGGGATTCATCGCAAGGAATAATAAGACCTTCAAGCTGTGTGAAGTAAAGAAATACCTATACAGTGCTCTGGAAACAGTCGACCAAAAAGCTTGGGAAAAATGCATCCACAAAACAATCAGAATCGAAGCAGAGATGTGGGATCTGGATGATCGCATAGACTCATTATCATAAAAAATCATTCCAGTTGTCATCAATCCTAAGGAAACTGATTCATCCAGTGGAGAATCACTCAACGAATCCCTGTAGACTTTTTTCACATTAAAATTATCGCAATGTCTTATTCGAAGTAAGTATTCCCATTAAATCTATAAAATTGTTTCTGAATCAACTATAAAATCCAATAAGGAATATGAATCTTCATTTCCAAACCAACAGGAATATGTAAAGTGTATCTCTGAGTGCAGCCACGCTTTTCTACTTCCTGAAAATGTCAAAGTCGAAGCCGAAACGTCGAATTATCTTATCATCATACAGAATATATTAATGGAAAATTTATATTAATACCCCCAGTCCGACGCCTATTAATATTATCGTAAACGTAATATCAGAGCGGTTCTACTGACGGTATTTTCGCATTCTTTTTCGATGTTTTCGCGTTCTTTGTCGCATATATCCCTATTTTAATGGCTCGTTAGCGGCGTCTTCAAGGGATATAGAGGGTACACATATCTCAATGATTTTGTGGGTGAATTGCAATGCTATTTGCTTGAGACGACTATGTTTGCATTCTTGAAATATTTTACTCTCAGACAATACTGAACGAACTATAACTGAATGAGTATTGACTTTGTATATGGACTATATTACCTATACAAAGATATTGATGTTGTTCGAAACTTACAATGGTTTTGACGTTGGTTGAATGGAAAAACCATTTTCTACAGACCATCAATCAAAAATCTTAGTGCTGTCCACAAAGATTTTATTTCCCTTTAAATAACAGTGAAAATGCCTTATCAAATATTCGTTTCTGTTCTTATCACTAGATGTCTGGAGTCGACAATTTCAAAATGCTTTTCAAAAAAGTGATGTTGACGTCATTTGTTAACAACCTGAGTGTATAAATTGTTGAACAGAAATCACCACGTAGAATATGAATCATCGTGACATCTAGTGACGAGAAGTTGAGTTAATTTAAGTTGATGATTTGTTTTTGTATTCGGGAGTGCAATGGGACACAAAGATGGGACCATGGGCGACATCTGGTTTCGAAATTCTAACGCCAAACCATTGTCTAAGTCCTTACTCTTTGACCAGTGGTCGCCAACCTCTTCAATGTGTTGAGTTACTTTGTTAATTTTGGAATAAACAGCGAGCTACCCACACGGAAGCCACGTAACGCAACGTAAATGAAATAATCCACAGTTAATTTATCATTATATGTGTTTATTTTACTATTTAACTGGTAATACACAATACATAGGTACTAATAATAAATTAATAACAAAATAACTAATATTACTAGTACGTACTTGTTCATAGCTACATTCCTACCTATCAAACGAAGGTGTTTGAAAAATAAACACAAACTTTTATCCAGCCACAACGGCATGTCACGTATGATTTAAAAATAATTAATAATAACAACAAAAAAGTAACGCACTATCATGAACATAAACATTGAAAAATAAAAAAGCGCGTTCAATGAGAAGGCTGACACTCAGACTCATCGATAATTTTTTTAAGGTTTGCAGTATAATTTGATGCAGCCATTCGAATACAATTATCCAAATGGTCATCTGTAAGTCGATTGCGATATTTGTTCTTAATAAACTTCATATTGGAAAAAGAAGATTCACACAAATAGGTTGAACTGAATAATGCTTTCACTTTCAAGGCAACACGCCATAGAACTGAATATTTGTCTTTACTTACAATAGACCAGATACATTCAGTACTTAAGACTAACGATTTTAAGGCTAAATCATTTTTAAACTCAATGACTTCCATTTCTGTTGCAGCGATGTCTTTGCCAAAGTTCTGCATAACACAAGTTACAAACTGTTGGATATCAATTTCCATAAAGGGTGTAACAACAAACTGCGCTACTAAAGCCATTGTTCTTCCCATTCCGAATGAAAGTGGTATGTCTTTACCTTCTTACAACTGTTTGCCATAATATTATTTTTGTTGTTCTCTACTAACCCAACCGCTGGACGTTGGTTACCCGTTCAGTTTTAAACTAAGCGCAATGTCGCCGCGCCGTGCGTATTTATCCCGTTCAAAGCAATCCAGATCGTTCTCGAACACTAACGCGCTGGTCCGGCTGGTCGGTTCTAGCCGATTCTAGCTTGATGGCGTCAGCGGCAGATCGCTCTCCGCAACGTTGCTGCTGTTTATGTTTAACATTATGAAAATTAGATTTTTTTGTGGAATTTTCGGAAGCTTCTCTGATTTTTGCAGTTTGTATTTTTTAAATTAAAATCGTTGTGAGAGCTAACAGAATTTCCTCCGCGAGCTACCGGTAGCTCGCGATCGACAGGTTGGCGACCACTGTCTTAGACAATGGCCAAACTCTGATGTCTGAAATATCAATGATATTTCAGAAAGTGCTGTGGACGATATTTGATATTGTCCTCCACTGCATAGGCTTAATAGATAGACTATTTTCACTTCATGAAACTCGCTGAAGATGTTATTTTCAAAAACCATAGCCCATTCGGTATATGTGAATCATATTACAAATCTAAATGCAAAAATACTTAAAAAATATCAATCGAAGATATCTGTGAGATTTCCTACAAGAATATTTCAACCTGGATTGGCTTCTACCAGATATCCATGTGATATTTGGTCTAATCTGCAAAAACTGCTACCTACTTTCTTCACACCATTACAATGAATACACAAAAGGGTTTTAAAAAAACAAAACTTGTGTGATAAATTATATATTTAACAAATAATATTCGAAACTTCCAGAAATAAACATACAATAAAAAAATAAATATATTCTCTGAACCGTTGAAATTTATAACTACCTAAGACTATTCTGGTAAAATCATAATGTACAATACTATCACTATATTTCTGAGAAAAATCTTCAGAGTTATCCAAGGCGAGCAGAATAATCTTTATTTTAATGGAAGATATTCTTTCACATAAAATCACCAGAAAAGTTCCAAAGTAAATGAACTAATTCTGCCTTCAGAAGGTCTATTATTGTAGAATGTTACAACTCTGTAAGTGCTTCAAACTTTCTTGAAATGAATATTATTGCTTAGAGCACAAAATGGGGAAGATACACACTGAAACTAAATTGAATTTGCATTGAGTTAAGTATGTCATTCTCACTTAAGATGTTACATTTTTCTGTATATTTAGGATTTTTCATCACCTGGTAAATTAATTGTAAAACGCCTGAAGAAAATTGGAGCATGTCAAAAATATTTTATAAAAGTTTCAACAAATACCATTGAGTCATTCATTTCTAAATTAGGTAATAAAAGTTCTGAATAGTTCAACAGAATGTTCATCTTTGGCAATATAATTGAAGTTTCATTGATTTATATAAATTCAATGTATATAAGCATTAGTCAAAGGATCTGAAAAAATACATTATTTTATTTTTTAATACTGAGCACTCTCCTATGTGAAACACCAAAACGTTTCATAAACATGAGAATTTTTGTCAAACATGATAATAAATAGACTGAGGGACATGCCAGGACATAAATCTTTTCATCTCTTTTTAGTTGTTGGAATCAATGTTCTCTCTTCAATTGCCAGTCCATACTCATTATCACGTCACTGGCTTGAACTGAAGTGAATTATGTATTATGTCCAATTGACCTGTCAAAATATCATTAAACACTCTAGTTGTTTGGAAAAATCCACGAATATTCAGATGGAAGTTCAAAAGGTACCTTAACTTTGACCTGAAGTAATTGCAACATTCTTTTCCCAATGAAAAACGTTAGAATTTTACAATCTTTGCTCCTCAACATAATCTGTTTTCATGATTGTACATGAAAAACCATTCTCAGAATCGTCTGAAGAACCATCATCAGCAGTATCGTTCTTCAAGAATGAAGAACTATTTCAAACTTCGTATCCTTTATTGATCATATACAATGGTGAATGTACAGTGTGTCTATGGAGAGATTTTGATTATTGCACACTTTCCAACCAACACTGTACCATACGCTCTCCTTTAACCATGCCATAATCTGTGGCATTTCTACTTACAAGTTCCTTGCTGTGGCGCCCCGCTTATAGTATAATTCATAATGATAGAGACTTATCTCTACTGTGTGATGACTATAAAATTATTTACACCTAAACCTAATTCTACGCCTATGATTTGATGCCGTTTTTATCTAGATACGCCCTGTTTCTGAGCTCGTCTTTTATCTCAGACGATGTGTATCCATTCGGCATTGGTTTAACGACATTGGTGTGTTCGTATAAAGCCGTTTGAGTGGTGAAGCATATGCCTACTTTCGAGTATCCGTTTTTCTGGACACCGTTTTTGTGGATTCCATTTTGAGTTGGCTTGTTTTCTTCCGCCTGTAACAGAAATGTATGTTAATTTGTGTATTTATTTTCTAAAATTAGGTTAGTCATCAGTCTGGTTAGAGCAAAAGAACAAAAACTTGCCACCTTAACATATTCATAAACAACATATTCATAAACACCTTAACATATTCATAAACAACACATATGTGAAGGATTTAAACTTTCAACAGTACAGTTCAAAAACTTTTCATTTTACAAGTTGAAAAAACATGTAAAATCGAAGTTATATCCCTTAGTAAATTTAACATAAACTGGGGGTTTGTGTGATTTCGCCCTAAGTTAGAAGTGAAATATGTGAATATTTAAAATATACCTTTTGAATGTTCGAAGTCTAGTTATGAATCATTTTCCAATAACTTTACAATAAGTCAAAGTCTGAATCTTCTTTGAATTCTTATAGATATATAAAATATGTATTTTATATATCTTTTGAATGTTTTCAAAAGCCGATCGATAATACAGAACGCCAACAATGATAGAGGGCGCATGGTTACTAATTTGAAAGACAGAAGTTATTCTTTTCCTTCATAGATGGCAACAGTTTACACGTTCATTTTTAAATTGAAATTGGAATATATTTTTTTTTGAAAAGGTTTGAACTAGAATACTTCTAAATGGAAGAGGAACGTTCGCCATAAGAGTTGTCATAGTGGGCGCGTCAATGAAATTGAAAGAAGGCCAATAACCACGTTTAACCAGAAATGCGTTACTTGAGTCACAGACAAATTTAGAGAATAGCTAAGTTGCCATATGAGTATCAAAAAATGTTAATCTCATAAATTTCATTTACATAAAATTGATCTCGTACACACAAATGGAAAAAAGATAACCTAGAGATATGAATAATAATGATATTTTTTTTCAAAAATAGTATTCGATGAGCTTCAAACCGATTTTCCTGGTTTCATCTGTATTACTAATCTTGTGTCTTCCGAATAGAGTGCCATCTATAGGTCGATAGAAAATTCAATCGTCGAAGACTGAAATTGGGTTTGTATTCTTTGCTACAACCAATAATAATAATACAATCGACTTCAGGCATGATGGATCATTTATAGTTATAGGAAAATGACTTAAAATCTTCACCTTCCGATCAACAATAATGAAAGTAAATAAGAATCTTGGGAGAGTTAAATTTAAACAATTTTAGTGCCCCCTTTGTGAAAATTCGGAACGGAGGCAATAGTGATACTTTTGTCCACCAGCTGTCGCTCGGAGTACGTTTTTTTGACAGATCTAATAATTCCCCTTCTATGAATTCATGTTATGGAGGAAATGGAGTTTTATCCAAATACCAGATCTCATATAGATTACAAATTGGATGAACGTGCTTCTCGAGGCCATAATAAACACCCAAAGAAGTCTGTTTCGAAAACGGCAGAGCATCTGACGTCACAAGTACTCGACAGTCCTGAAGCTACGTTGTCGTTATAGGTAGACAAAAAAGTCGATACATATTCTGACAGCTCCAATGACAAATATCCAATGAGCTCAATACTATAAAAAATGGAATCTTTCCTGATTACATCATAAGTAATTGAGATAATGAGAAAATTCCATGGCCTGCTGTTAGGAACCTATACCATAATCCATCAGTAAATCTGGCAACACCACTCTCACAGAATGGTTTACAGCTTTGCCAAATGTTTGTCAAAATATTTATTTTCTCTGTGGGCAATTCGAGCACTAAGTTAGTCATTAAGTTATTGTTCATGAAGAACTGAATCAAAAAATACTGTCCAATATAAACTTCCAATTTTAATTCATTGGGAAGTGAATACTAATATTTTCTCTAAACTTCAGTGGAATCGTTAAACTGGCAACTCAGCTCGTAGTACTTATTGCGTCATAAATCGGTGGCATAACTAATGAAAATATTATTTCATTACTATAAATTCTTCCAGTATAACCACATTTGTACCATTCTGAATTGAGGAGAGGAGGTTGCGCTTTTCCTCAATAGTGTCATCTCCCTATTAGATCAATAAGAGCTGATAACGAAATAAAGGTTTATAATAGAGCTTCAACAGCTTCAAATCTCTCTCTCTCTCCCTCTTAAATTATTATCAGGTTCCCAACAGTTTTATTAACACAATAGGGAAGAAAAAAGAGCGATTACAGTCGCAATTTGCGCATCTATGTTGTATCAGCAATTCTCCTGTTCAGTTACCTCACTCTCATCACAGTTTTATATGTTTTTTCATCATTTATCAATTATTCAGAACTAACACTGATAAACTCACCTCAGCTTTCAGTTTCTTTTGTTTCCTGTTGTAGGTTTCCTTGTAAAAGTTGGAAAACAGAAAGTAAAACATCACAGCATGCATGCCAATCCACCAAACGAAAGCCTTGGGATAGTTGCAGTCAATGAAAAGCAACTGGAAAGCGTGGATCATAACCAAAACGAATTGGATCTGTGAAAAATAAGTATGAGGTTAGTATCCTTGCTTTCATTCTTGCAATGCCAAAATAAAGTTGTGTCATTTGCAGATTGGGTTATTTCTGCAGCTATATCGAGCTAGGTCGTTATTATAAAACAAGAAGAGAATTGGGCCTGAAACCGATCCTTGTGGAACACCACAGGTAACTGTCTGGGAATGGGATAAGTTTTCCGGGAGTTTAACTTTTTGAGTACGTTCTGACAGGTATGATATGTCTGTAAAGCCATACACTTCTAGTTTTTATAGCAGAATCTCATAACAAAATGTCCAGAATGGATATAGAGTGAAATAAGAAACTCAGATATTTTTCAATTTATAACTAAGACTAATGACAAGAGAGATAAAAACATCGTAGTAGTTACAAATGTATGACTGATTTCAAGAGCATTCTCAGAAACCCCAAGGTTAGTATCCGCGTTTTTCATCACAATCCTTCATTGAAATTAACTTTCCTTTTCAGTAATTGTTAACGTGAAACAAGTTAGTCTAACATAATCATTGCTTTTGTCTATTTTTTTACTGGTCCTTCTTAGCTCGAAGGTTTTGATGTGTAGCACTTTAATTTTGGAATATTTCATCCACCTTTACAAGGTTAAGAGACTTTTTGCTATCATTAGGTACGTGGTACATGTCATATCATATGTTCATTACCTACAATAATAATGTCGCTGCTCTTTTTCAGGAATTGCCGTTGAATTGAACTATCCCGCATATATATGAAAGCTTGAGTCCCTCAGTCACTAAGCCTGGTTATACTATGGTTGAGACATCTTTTAATGCCTTATTCACGTTACTTTCGAATGTATGCTTAGGCGATCCTTTGAATAGAAAGAGAAGTGGCCTAGGCATCGATCCTTGAGGAATACCGATATCACATAATTTCGGCGAGAATAAATGAACAAACAGAAAATATTCAAAACGTCAATGAACTCACCATCTGTATAGTTGTCAAATATTTTTTCCACCAGAGATACTTTTGGTACTGTGGTCCCAGAGCGGCCAAAAGGTAATAGCTGTACATGATGATGTGAACGAAGGTATTCAGAAAACCAAAGAAGGTTGAGTGACCTCCAGGAGTGAACTTGACCCCAAACCAAACGGACATCGGCATTATGCCGTGATGAATAACGTGCAGGGTCGAGATGTGGTCGTTTTTCTTCCGGAGGACAAAGAAGAACTGGAAAAAATGAAATTTGTCGTTTAATAGCCAGACCATAAAAATAAAGCAACAAAACAGATAATTATACAACAGGGCTTTTACTTTTTATTGTCTCAAACAATTGTTCCTCAATTTACTCACTTAAAATTTCTTCTGTTTCAATTTATTTGGTTGAATTTGTAGGACACATTCGCTGTTCACAAAATTTACTCTTTTTTGAATGACAGTTGTTTTTCAATGTTACATAAATTAATTTGTTCGACAGAAATCAAAATTGATCTGAGTGAGATGGCGGAAACTGGACGTCTGCTCGCATGGGGTTTCTGATGATATTGCAAAGGTCGAAAAGTGGGTGTCCCACGATTTCATCAATCAATTTACATTTTGGTGACACTATATATGGTCCATCAGCAAATACAGGCAATGTATACAGGCAATGTATTTGCTGATGGACAATGTATTTGCTCCTTAGCCCTAACCACTCTAGACGAGGTCTTGTCAGCTATACGTAAACTAAAAAAAAACAATTCAGAAGATGCTTTCGAAATAAACGCATTACTTATCAAAGAAACATCGGACATCTTGCTTGAACCATTGGTTGCGCTAATAAATAAGTGGTTTTTAGATGGCATTTTCCCGGATTTATTAAAAATCTCAAGAGTTTTGCCCTTACCCGAAAAAAAAACCTTGAAACTATGTACAACTCTTGCCCAATCTCAATGATCAACACGTTTTTTAAAATTATAGAAATTTTGCTCAAAGAAAGGTTAACACATTATTTTGAAAATAATAACTTCCTCGCCAACTCTCAATTTGGTTTCCGCCAAAACAAATCTACAATGAGGGCACTAGCGAAGGTCGTGGAGGACATTGTCGATGGCCTTGAAAAAAAGCAACATTCCTTTCTTTCTATATGCGATTTGTCCGAGGCGTTTGACTGTGTCTCACACGACCTACTGTTAGAAAAGTAATCTTATTATGGGGTTAGAGGAACACCACTAAAATTGATGTCATCGTTTTAACAAATAGACAACAACTGGTCAAAATGAAAAATACTACATCCGAGCTCAGGACAGTGGAACATGGAGTTCCTCAGGGATCGGTCCTTGGTCCTTTGCTTTTTATCATTTACATAAATGACATTTGTCAGCATATGCTACAGGATACAGCCACCATTATTTTCGCTGGCGATACGTCACTTATCAATAGTTCGTCAGATTTTTATAGCCTCAGAATTCTTGCTGACAATTCGATTGACCTTGCTAGAAATTGGTTTTCTTCAAACTCCCTACAACTAAATGTTGAAAAAACGCAACAAATGATTATATCCAGTAATAATAAATACACATCAGGAGAACACTGTAAACTTCTTGGAATTACAATCGATGACACTCTCAACCGGCACTATCATACTCAAAAACTGACCAGCGAGCTTTCCAGTACAATTTTTCTCTCAAGAAAATTGAGATATGTTGTAGGTCTTCCATCATATGTTCGATGTTAAATATTTTTCCCGTTTCTCGGTGCTATTCCGTACGCATTTCAGTCCATCTTGAGCAGGCAAAAAGCGTGTGCTCCGCATCATCATCTACCTGACACTGGATGCAGGATGCAGACTCCAATCTTCCTCTGTCGAACAGATATTTACCGAAGCAGCCGTGTCCAGAAAGTGCTTGAGTTAGGTAGTAGTCTACTTCTTCAAAGGGTTGGTTAACCCAGCTCTCCACGTTTGGAATGAGTCGGTACGTCCATCTCCCATATAGACCACTGTCCCATTTCAGTTGCCACCTACGCATGAGGTTTTCCCTGGCTGCATTTCTTCCCAGGCCACTGTAGCGTTCCATTCTCTCCAGCACTTGAATTTCTATCGGTGAAACCCCCGCTATAACGCATGCTGCCTCAACGGATATCGTTCTATATGAACTGCACGTTCGAACGTTCATTTTTCTCTGCACCGCTGTTGATTTCTGGACTAGTTTCTTGTTTTGCATTGCGGTGTACCAGGATGGTGCATCGTACAGGATCTGTGCATGACCTACATTTGACATAATTAGTCTGTTTGAGGCTCTGAGGCCTCCGATATTGGGTATCAGGTTTGCTAGCGCTGTAGTTGTTTTCTCAGCCTTGAGTACACTTTGTTTTATATGCTCTGCAAAGGTCAGCTTAGTGTCAAGCCATACTCCCAGATACTTTACCACCTTGCTCAGTCCGATCTGTGTTCCTTCGATATCGAAATAGATCACTCCTATTTTTCTACGCTTTGTCAGGAGCACGGCTTCGGTTTTTTCTGGGGCTAGTTTCAGGCGCCTACTTTTCATCCATTTCGATACTCGTAATATTGCTCAATTTGCTACATTCATTAGGAGATTCTCATTTCCGGTTGCCACTACTACTGCCACGTCGTCTGCAAACCCTACCAAAGCAGTTCCATCGGGCAATTCAATTGAAAAAAGGTCATCATACAGGATGTTCCACAACGTAGGTCCTAGGACTGATCCCTGTGGGACACCGCTATTTATACTGATAGTTTTTGTGTCATGAATGGCTTCCAGTGAAATTTCTCTCTCTCATAGATATGAGGCTATCATATAAATTTCACTAGTTCGGACTTCCATTGTCTACTATATAAAATGATTTGGTATCCCTGAAACAACTAAAAAAGAAGAATTGAAAATGAATAGTCTATTCATTTTCAATTCTTCTTTTTTAGTTGTTTCAGGGATTTCAAATCATTTTATATAGTAGGCAATGGAAGTCCGAACTAGTGAAATTCATCATGAAACAATGTCAATCACCTTCAAACAAACGCTATCATATAAATTAGGTTTTCCTTCACGCCTCTGTTTCTAAGGGCCTCCAATATGAATTGCCATCTATCTATCTGTCTGTCTATCTATCTATCTATTTATATATCTGTCTATATTATAGGGTCTGTATATATTAGGTTAGGTTAAGTGTTAAGTCCGCCTATTCACACTCCACCAAATTAACCCAGCTTATTGACGAAGCCGATTAGTTTGTATGGTGAGTGATCTTTCAGGTCGGATAGTAAGACTATGGCTCTGCCGAACCTGATTCGGTCACCAGCGGGGCAGGCACAAAGTTTATGCTCTGCTGTTTCATCATTTTCCAAACAGAGGCGATACACACTGTCTTCCGACAGTCCAGGTCTCTGCATAGATGATTCAAATGACAGTGACATGTAAGAAGGCCTGTAAGACATCGTAGTTCATCCCTACTGTAATCCAACAACTGTTTGGTATCAAGCTTCGAGGGGTGAGTAAACGCATTGGAGTGAGCCAATCCTGAAAGATTCTGCCAGAAGTCCATACATCTTCTTGCCGTCCAGATGTTCAATCTTCCTTTAGCAAAGCGATGCCAATGACGGCTTCTGGTCCAATGAAGCTGCTTGCAGCACCCTCTTTTGCAAGGGAGTCAGCAACCTCATTGCGTTCCACAGACTAGTATGGCCAGGAATCCAGATCAGAGACAATCTGTTAAGTCTTCCTATCTAGGAGAGGAAGAGAATCTGCGTGGGATGGCGGAAGAACTGAGCGTCAGCTCCCATGCGGTGTCTGATTATTCAAAATGTATTGCAAAGGTCGAAAAGCTCGACAAGTGGGTGTCCCACGATTTCATCAATCCATTTACTTTTTGGTGACACTGTATATTTTCCACCAGCAAATGCAGGCAATGTAACATATATATTACAGGGTCTGTATATATTACAGACCTATTACAATAGCAATCAGTGATTACATAACGGTAGAAAAGTCTATAATACATGCCGATTTTCCACAAATATTCTTGTCACATGCATATCTTCTGTTACATTACCACATAATTGAAACGCATTTTCTTGCAGGCCACCCACATTCAGCGGTATGTTAATTAGTAATCGAAGGTGTTCTAGTAAGCATAGTTCACGCGATAGAATAGTCATCAAACAATCAATAACAGTGAGGTCGTACAAAATATAAACAAATATGTTCATTCATATTTCTGGAGGATTGGGCCTTCAATTTTGGTAAATTGATATTCAATGTCATTCAAGTCGAGAGTTTATTTATAATTCAAGTTAGGTGAGTGGATTATAATTTGCGTCGTTGACGTACAAAATAATCAACATTTCACTCAACACTTTGGTTCTAGTTTATCCTCCTGTACTCATTTGCTATGTTTGGGATCCATGTTCAAATTTCCCGGGCTACGTACGTTTGATTAGGGTTTTTTTTTTTAAGTTGGTACACTGATGTTCCAACATACGTTCACGATTTCAGCTGTTTTGCACGTTGAGTTTTTTGGTGAGAAGCATAAAAATTAGAAGTGTTTAGCGTGTGTTTTAAGTAGTATTATCTTGGAATTGTGCTCCGCTTGCAAGAAGCAATACGAAGAAAACGTCCAGTATTGTGGTCTGGATTCCTGGCCATACTGACCTGGAAGGCAATGACGCTGCTGACTACCTTGCAAAGGAAGGTGCTGCAAGCAGCTTCATTGAACCAGAACCTGTCATTGGCGCCGCTTTAGGCTTTGCCAAACAAAGATTGAACACATGGATGGCAAGAATATTTATGGACTTCTGGCAGAATCTTCCAGGATTATCAAAATTCATGCTCGTGAAGAAAGGGCATCGTGCACTTCTTCCAATTTATGGGCAGTGTTGTCGGCCTACTGAAGCAGCTATTCGGAAGCTTGTGACTAAATTTCGAACCCAGTTTACATTATTGGACATCAAACCACCAACACGCATACGTAGAATGAGGACCGAAGAAAATATTGCGGCTGTATCCGCCAGTGTTCGTGATGACCGTGAAATGTGGATTCGTCGCCGTTCGCAGCAATTGGGCCTTTGTTACTCCACTACGTGGAAAATTTTGCGAAAGGATTCGGGTGTAAAACCTTATAAGATACGGCTGGTGCAAGAATTGAAGCCACACGACCTCCCACAACGTCTATCATTTGGTGAATGGGCGCTGGGAAAGTTGGAGGAAGATCCACATTTTTATCGAAAAATTGTGTTCAGCGACGAGGCTCATTTCTGGTTGAATGGATACGTTAACATGCAAAATAGCCGCATCTGGAGTGAAAACCAGCCACAAGCATTGCAAGAGCTACCGATGCATCCCGAAAAAGTCACTGTTTGGTATGGATTATGGGTCGGTGGCATCATCCCAATGCATCGGCCCAATTAGGAGCCGCCTTCGGTGAACAGTTTATCTCACGTTTGGGGCTCGTGAATTGGCCTCCTAGATCGTGTGATTTAACGCCTTTGGGTTATTTCTTGTGGGGTCATGTTGAGGTTCATGTCTACAGGGATAACCCAGCAACGACTGACGCCACTATTGAAGCATTTATACGTGAAATACCGGTCGGTATGTTAGAGAGAGTGTGCCAAAATTGCACCTTGCGCATGGACCATCTAAAACGGAGCCGCGGACAACATTTGCATGAAATCATCTTCAAACATTAAATTATTTTGATCGTTCTATCGATTGCAATAAAGATTTCATCAATGTTTTCAAATTTTTGTGTCGTTTTGAAAATCAAATCCTATACCTCTTAAAAAATTACCTGTTACATGTCTAACAGGCCTTCTTATAGATCACTGTCATTTGAATCATCATATGCTGAGACTCATACTGTCGGAAGACAGTGTGTGTCGCCTATGTTTGGAAAATTATGAAACAGCAGAGCACATACTTTGTGGCATCCCCGCTGGGGACCGAATCAGGTTTTTAGAGTTCGGTAGAGCCGTACTTTTACCATCTGACCTGAAAGACTACTCACCATACAAACTAATGGGCTTCGTTAAGAAGCTGGGTTTATTTGGTCGAGTGTGAATAGGTGTTAGTCACAATAAACCCTTGCGGGTTGCGGTGGAGGGTCGAATAGACCCTCGCTTTGGACCTAACCTAACTTTACTGGTATTGTGGAAAAATAATTCATGATCGTCATTGCTTGTTCATAATTTTTTGGCCAAAAACAAAACCGTAATCACGCCTCAGCCACCATATTCACCAGATTTGGACGACTGCGACTTTTTTCTGATCCCAAAATTAGACACACCTCATGTTTATTGTTTCAAGTTTTTTGTGTTTCAATTCATTCAATTGTGAATTTGTGAGAGTAATGCCTCGTTGCGTTTGTTATAGACGTGGGAAACTGGTGAATGGATAAAATAATTTACTTTCATTCACGCGAGGTACAAGAAGCCACAACAATATAGTAAAACAGGTGACAGGACATTTTGTTTTACTATCTGGGTTAGTTTCGAAATGTCCGGTAGATGTCGTAGCTGGACGATAGACTTCCCAAAGGCAACAATCTAAATTTGAATGAACAATGATAAAATATCTAGAACTGTAGCTGACACCTGATGTTCCTGAATGAGAAATTGATTGAATTGACTGAGCTGTTGAATAATTTTGTTTTTTTATTGAATTATCAATAAAAATTACATTTGTTTGTCGTAATATGAGGCCAGTATTAGTCTGCGCCCTAGGTCATGGCCTAGGTTGTCATTGTGGCTAATCCGGGCCTGGCTGTATTGTTGAAAGTCGTTTTTTATTATTTGTGAACAGAACTAAAATGGGGATTACTTTTGTGGTTCAAAGGGGATGATTCTGTCCTAGAATCTAGGTTCCTTCAGGAAATAGCTTTGTGTGTTGCATAACTGCTGCCGCTTCGCTTGACAAATGACGTTTACATGTGAAAATGACGGAACTTTAAACTTGTGCTGTCACACCATAGCCATATAGTTTTTATTGACGTATATGATTCTGATAGCACTTATAGGTTTTTTTCCATCAGATGAATAAAACAGCAGCTGGCCAACCAGTACAATCCGGTTCTGCAAAAGTGCGTCGTAGATGAAAAAACCCAAACACTAGAAATTCCTGCGACTGATTTCACAGTCAATATTTCTCAAGTGCATCTCGTTAATACCGTTTTAAATTTCCATTATAAATTATTTGACGAAGTCGAAAACAAATTATAGTAATTTGTTGTACGACGCGACGTACCATTATCGATTTGAATCGATGATAGTTCACTAATTTGATTTCATTGAAGTTTCGTCTTTGGAAAGCAACCAGAGTTTTTGTTGAGGTTAACTAGAGATACTTTGCAACTTACCGTATCTAAAAATTCCGTGAACTTCGAGAAATAGTACCACCAACAACCTCTAGCCATCTGAAAAAATAGAAAGAAAAATCATATCAAAAATTAATAACACCATCACAATGACTTTCTACCCCAAATATTTGTCTCATCTTTTGCACAGCATTCAATTTTTTTGAAAATGAAAGGTAGCTTTCAATATTTCATTTGTCATGAACATCCTCAATGGTGTACTTCGAAGTTTCGTAATATTTCATATCAATGTTCTTTTATATAACAAATTGTAAATCATTCCTATGAAGGATATCTGTTTCAATTTTATAACGAATATGTGTAGTACAAAGTGAATGGAAAAAAGTGATTTTCGTGAACCTCATTGTTCATATGAAAGTAGTTATTTCGGAAGGATTCTTTTTTTTTCATGTAATTCAATGTTCATGTGAAAGTAGTTGTTTCGAAAGTGTTTTTTTCAAGAACAATTTATTTTTTGCTTCAAAATAGGCCTCAATTTCATCAATAACCTCTTTATTCGAGAGAAATGTCTTACCGGTGAACATTTTTATGAGGTCTGCGAACAGCCAGTCGCTAAGAGCCAAGTCTGGCGAATACGGTGGATGTGGAAGCAATTCATGCAATTTTGGTATCGTTTTCATTGATTTGTAACACTGTTCATTTTCTTGATGAATCAGCGCTTTCTTTTTCTTAAAATGGAGTCGATTTTCCGCAATTTCGGCCTTCAAACGCTTCGATAACAGCCGCACGGGCAATACAACGGATTCGGTTGTTATAATATTCAACCTCATCCGTTATTTGCTACATATCGACCTTGTAACGTTAATACTTATATTGGTTCTTTCATTTTTAGTAATGGCAAAACAATAGCATACTTCCAAAATAGGAAAGTATTTTTCAAATTAAAAGAGGTATATTTTTAAAAGAGATTAATTTTTGGGACAGAGCGGTTTTGGCTTTCTACTTCTTCACCTTGATACAAAACAAAAATGTAGGAATCTTCCATTAGTAGAAGGAATTGAAAAAAACACAAACTTACCCTCATTGCTAAAGGATTCCGCGAATAATCCACTGGCTGACATTTGAAGCTGTAATGGTTCAACCATCCTGCTACACAACTCTGCAAGAAAAAAACTGCTGAAAACACTTCACAAATAAATTTCTTGGATAATATTTCAAACAGAAGTAATCTTGAAATATACTGAATACTTCCTTTCGTTAGGTTAGGTTGGGTTAGGTCCAAAGTGAGTGGGTCTATTCGACGCTCCGCTGCAACCCGCAAGGGTTTATTGTGGCTCACACCTATTCACACTCGACAAAATGAACCAAGCTTCTCAATGAAGTCGATTAGTTTGCATGGTGAATGGTCTTTCGGGTCAGACGGTAAGAGTACCGCTCTGCCGAACTCTAAGAACCTGATTCGGTCCCCAGCGGGGCAGGCGCAAAGTATGTGATCTGCACACTGTCTTCCGACAGTCCGAGTCTCTGCATATAATGATTCAAATGTCAGTGATGTTTAAGAAGGCCTGTTAGACATCGTAGTTCATCCCTACTGTAGTCCAACAACTGTTGGAGTGAGCCCATCCTGGAAGATTCTGCCAGAAATTCATAAATCTTCTTGCCAATCAGGTGTTCAATCTTCGTTTGCCAAAGCCTAAAGCGATGTCAATGACAGGTTCTGGTCCGATGAAGCTGCTTGCAGCACCCTCCTTTGTTTTTGCAATTCGCTACCAATTTAGACGTTGCTGGGTAGGAGCCAAGAGCTTCCAACGCCGCTTGACTGTCCGAGAATATTTTTATTGACTTGTGTATGAGGTTAAGTTCTTCCAATCTCTCCGCACACAACTCAATAGCGTAAATTTTCGGTTGAAATAGAGTCGCATAGGTTCCTAGGCAAGTTGATATCTTTGTCCTAGGTCTGCGACTGAAAACACTTGCACCAGAACCATGCTTTTGATCCATCTGTGAACCAACAACTATCTGCTCTTAATATTTCCTTCTCCCGGAGGATTCAGTCCTCTCTACTCGGGAATAATACTTTATAAGGCAGTTCGTAGTTGACAGTTGCAGGCACAAAGTCAGAGGTCATTTCCAGAATGCTGTGTTTTCCAGTGTCAACCAACACTCTGTTGCACTCTGCATTGAATCGATTCGTGTAACTGGCAATGTGCACAAGTCTATATGCAGTCCATCTAGCATCTCTCTCCAGAAAAATGTGGAGGTAGTTCTAGAAGGCCGCTGACGGTGTGGTACTGATGACCAGACAAGCCTGTTGTAAAGCCTTCGGCCACTTGGCAATTGCAACATAAGTGATCATTGGTCTCACAATCATCACATAAATCCAATGGATTTGTTTGGGACCTAAACCTCAAGTTCTACCACAAATCGTTGGACATGTCCATAGGAACAGTCTGCCTCCCAAACACTCACCTGGAACGCTCCCAAGTGAGCGTTCCAGGTGAGTTTTTTACCAAGGACAATGCCAAGATATTTCACTACCGTTCCAAATGGAGTGACCTCACCATTGGGAGAAAGTGGCGTTAAATCGTCCAATTTTCTCCTCCTGATGAAGGGGATTATCACAGTTTTGCTGGGGTCGACAGGCATCTGCTCCCCCAGGCACCAACTGTGAACAACGTCCATCGTGCTTTGGAGGATATTACAAGCTACCCTTTCCGACGTGGACCTTGCCAAGATGACAAGGTCATCTGCATAAGCTTGCAGATCTACTTCTCTTCTGTCGAGGGCATGAAGCGTCCATCAGGAGCGACCACAGACGAGGAGATAGTATCCTACCTTGAGGGCAGCCTCTGGTGACCCTAAACCTAATGGCCTTGCCTTGAAGAGTCATAGTTGCAGTTTTGTTTACCAGCATTGCATAGATCCAGTCAGTTCGATGCCTTTTCTAGCCAGAGATGAACCTATAGATTTAGGTAGTGCAACGCCAAATGCTTCTTCAATATTGAGAAATACAGCAACAGCAATCTCCTTGTCGTCAAGGGATTGGGAAATTCTCAAAAGGGAAAAGGACGAAGTACTACTTCAAATTTCAAGAAACTTATGTTATCAAGGAATCTCATATGATGTGGCAGCAAAACAAAAATCTCTATCTAAATAGAGAAATGAGCTCCTGTAATGTTTTCAAAGAAGATGGAGAAAGCTAATTGAACGTTTTTCTTCAATTTACAAGAAAGTTTCAACTTCAGTTGAACTTGCCTTAGGGTCCATTTGGTATTGCATCCAATTCTCAATCATTTGGCTTTAGCAAGAATTTCACTAGTTCGGACTTCCATTCTCTACTATATAAAATGATTTGAAATACCTGAAACAACTAAAAAAAGAAGAATTGAAAATGAATAGCTGAAAATAACAATTATATTAACCAAAATAAACCTGAAATGAAATAATAGTGAAATAAAATACGAGTAAAAATAGAACAATTGAATAAATAAAAATAAAGAAATGAAAAAAGAAAATAAAAATAAAAAGTGGAGAGATGATGACTGGATGATTCCTCCGAGAGATGACTATTTATAGGTCGTTCGAGTACTTTCACTTATCCCCGCTTTCCATTTTTCGCTTCACTGGTTCCGTGGGAGATGATCGTTTTGGTGGGAGTTGGCCATTTTTCGCTTAATGATGGGTTTCCATATGTTGCGTATTTCTAAGCTGGCTTGACTGAATACGTTGTTGGACAACATGTACGCGGTTTCCTTGAATTTTCTCCTAAACCAATGTTCCTCTCTGTGCAAGATCTCGGCTTGGGACCACTCGATGTTGTGTTGATGGGTCCAAACATGGTCTGCTATTCCTGATTTGCTGGATTTCCCTCGCTGTGTTTGTTTCTTGTGCTCGGCAATGCGAACATTCAATGGCCTCTTAGTTTCACCAATATAGGATTTTCCGCACTCACAGGGTATCCGGTAAATGCAATTCTTGGAATCGCAGTCCGCGTTTGGTGACCTGGTTTTCGTGAGGCTGCTACGGATAGTGTTACCGGATCTGAAGCAGGTTCTGATGTTGTACTTGGAACCAATTCTTCTTATCCTCTCCGATAATCCTTTGATGTAGGGAAGTGCAAGCACTGGTTGTGACGGCTTCTCTTCCTTGCGAGGCTCCTGCTGTCTTTTAGCCAAAGTCTTTTCTACCATCGCTTTGGAGTAGCCATTCCGTTGAAGATCATTTTTGATGATGTCTAGTTCCTTCTCGAGACCTTCCTTCGTATTACAGAGCCCAAAAGCACGGTCTAATAGAGTCTTGATGATTCCTCTTTTAGTCGATTGATGGTGGTTGGATTCGTGGTTCAGATACTGTCCAGTATGAGTGGGTTTTCGGTATACAGATGTTTCCCACTTAGTGTCGGTCCTCTTCACCAAAACATCTAAGAATGACAATTCGTTGTGGATTTCCTTCTCCATTGTGAAATTGATGGAAGGTCTCACGCTGTTGATGTGTTTCAGGAAGACGTCTAGTTCAGTATTCCCATGGTTCCATATTATGAAGGTGTCGTCAAAATATCTCAACCAGACTCGAGGTTTCTTGTGGGCTTCTTCAATGGCCAGAGTTTCAAACCACTCCATATATATGTTGGCTATGACTGGTGAAAGTGGCGATCCCATTTATTTTTATTTTCTTTTTTCATTCCTTTATTTTTTTTCACTATTTTATTTCACTATTATTTCATTTCAGGTTTATTTTGGTTAATATAATTGTTATTTTCAGCTATTCATTTTTAATTATTTTTTTAGTTGTTTCATGGATTTCATATCATTTTATATATTAGACAATGGAAGTCCGAACTAGTGAAATTCATCATGAAACATTGTCAATCACCTTCAAACAAATGGCTTTATCAAATTGAAACTGTTGCATTTTTTTGATTGGTTGATCTTTCTGAATTATAGATACCAGAGACAATTTTAATTTCGTTTGAAATAGAACCAACAAGATAACCTAGAAATACTATCGTGCCAGCCAGAGAAAACAATTCTGATCCACGTTCATTTGAAACCCTTTTCATTGAGGTTCTACAATCCCTTTCTAATATGCCACCTCAATATCAAATTTCAGAAATAATATGTCCACTTTTATGAGTTTTCAAATTGTGAAATTGTGAAAAAATGAAACACTCACCTCATAAAAAAGCCACGAACTGAACAACACTTGGAAAAAGTTATATACAATTAAAACAGTCTTCAATTCGTATGGTTTTCTGTTCTCCATCAGTTTGGGTCCAAGCACTTTGACAATGTAGACATACGACAAGCAGATACCCAGCGTGTAAAATGGAGAGCTCATAAGGAACCAGTCGTTGACTCTTGGATCTGCAAGAGAAAACAATCATACAGAGTGGTCCAACGAAAAGTATGCACCTTGCTTTTCTCTTTTTTTTGTAACTTAACGCAAAAATGCTAGGACAGGTCAATTTTGCTTTTGAGGGGGACACATTTCAGATGTATTTTTCTACCTGTGCCTTCAACCCCCTAGCGAGGGTGAGTAACAACCCTAAAATTTTGAATGGAAAGTGGGGTCGAGTGATAGATCATTTGAAAGGGCACAAACTTATCTTTCCAATGATACCTAATTTGTTGTATTTCACTCAAACATGTAGGTATTATGAAGAAAAACAACTACAACCCAGTACTTTGACATGTGTAATTGACTTAGTAGAATCCTACTTCAACAAGTGCTGAAAATGTGACCCATTTGCTTCCATACAATAATACAGATTTTGTTCAAATCTATTCCTAACATTCTGTAGCATATCAGGTGTTATACTTCTGCACTCTGCTGTAATTCGTTGACGAAGATCTTCTATGGACTCGGGCTGCGTAGCAAAACATTTATTTTTCAAGTGTCCCCAAAGGAAAAAGTCTAAAGGCGATAAATCAGGTGACCTGGCAGACCAATCGACGGGGCCTCTCCTTCCAATCCACCGTCCAGGAAACCGGTCATCTAAAAACTCTCTTAACGGAGCAACATAGTGAGGAGGTGCTCCATCTTGGTGGAAATGAAGCCGATCATCATAATGATTTTGGTCATTTTCAATTATTTCTGTTATGAGAGGATCAATTGTATCTTCAAGCATGTTCAGGTAGACCTCACCAGTTGAATTCCCAGGAATATGATATATCACTCGACACCACTTTCCATTTAAAATTTTAGGGTTGTTACTCACCCTCGCTAGGGGGTTGAAGGCACAGGTAGAAAAATACATCTCAAAAGTAAAATTGACCTGTCCGAGCATTTTTGCGTTAAGTTACAAAAAAAGGAGAAAAGCAAGGCGCATACTTTTCGTTGGACCACTCGATAAATAATTTCACAGATCAGATCAAATCCTTCATTTTCCTGTTTGTCAATTTTATGATTAATTGTATTAGGAATAGTCAGTAAAAGCTAAGTTATAAACTAACACAGTCAAACTAGAAGCACACACGGAAATGCATGCACGCACCACACATACACTTACGTTAAATAATCATTAATGCTGTAATACGCATTGAAAACTAAAAAAAAATCATTTAAAACCTCTCTAAAATTTCGCTTTCTTTATTCCAGTTGGAAATACATTAAATAAACGAAGACCTGCAACATTTAAAACCTTTGAGAACAATCCGCCCTCGAACCAGCGGAACTTGATATATTTTTCAATGTTTTTAATTAACAAGCTTTTATTACCTTCATCTGCATGTATGTACACACATCGGAAAAGTCTAGGGATATTTTTATAACATACTAAATATCATAAAAATAAATGCATGAGGTCGTTTAATTTCGATTAAATATATTTTTTTTTAGTTTTGCTTATATGCGCACTCAGTATTTTTGACCATTTAATAAATTTTGTTGTAAGTTACATTCGTTTAATAATCACCCGTCAACTTTTTTTTCCCTAAAGCGATCTAAAAAAAAATTATTGCCATTTTAAAAAATATCCCTAGACTTTTCCGATGTGTGTATGTATGTATGTATGTTTGTTTGTTTGTAACTTCCCGTTTGAATTCTCGGGATCTGTATTTGACATAATTATCGACATTAATTAGCACCTAATAGTGTTCCCTTAACATTCATTATTTTATTTATTTCATCATTGCGTTGCTAGCAACGCAACTTTGAGTATTGAGTTGCGGTGTAAGTTACAGAGCACCTAATTTTTGACTTCGGTACCTAAAAAGCACCTAAAAAGAACCTAATTTTGGCATTTTCTAAATGTGATTTCCATACTTTGCGTTGCTGGCGTAACAGAGCTCCCCACTTCAGTAGTTGATTAGCTAGAATGCTAAAGAATACAGTTTTGGTTGTAAGTCCATCGCAGTGTGCTTTAAAACACAGGTTTTTGTTAATCTCAACATCTAAAAACTTGTTACTTTTCGACAGTGTTCTGAGTTCCTCCAACTGTAGCCAAGTCTATTTTCAAACGGCAAAAGAAAACAAAGTTAACTGTTTTGGGTTCGTTGAAGAGGCAAGTCTTCAGATATTTCATATTCTTCTTCTTGAGTGAATACGATCTTTTTTGTAAACTTTTCATCAAGTTAGATCAATTTCTTCATGGAAAATTAAAAATAGAAAAAAATTCGAACCAAGTTTCTTCACGACGTTTTGATTATTAGTATCCATCTATAAAGATAGCCTCAGAGCAAACACGCTGAATATTGTATTATAATGCAGTGAAAACCTATTATCATAATAATCATTAAAAACGATTATTACTTTCGGTGGAGACCCAAGAAATTATTTTCCGTCACATCATTTGAATTTCCAATAATATCATCGATTGCAAAACTTCAAATTGTATAATTGTCATGATTAATGTTTGTTTAATGTTCCTAGAACTGCAGTTGCATTATCCAACTCATAGTGCGTGTTTATGATTGAGGTTTGAGATCTTAATATGCAATTATGGTAATTAATGGTATTTTTGATAAAATGTATTTTGTAGTCATTTCATATTCCATTATGTAATAAATTTGATTGAGAATGATACAAAATAAGCAAGTGTAGAGTAGAGCAAAAAGAGCATTGGTGACTTATGAGCAATGTCGGAGGACAGTGGGACGCACATGGGGTAGTCACCTGGATCTACACTGCAATAATAATTCCTATGTTAACGTACTGAGCCATCGCATGGGGACCGAAAGTTTTACAAGCAAAGGCCATCCAAAAATAATATAAAATTCAGCGATTGGCTTGTTTAAACATCACAGGAGCCATGAGAACAACACGCGGCAGTGGAATTGATTACTGGTCGGACCTCTCTGGACCTGTACGTTGAGGAGGCTGCCTTAATAGCCATGTTACGTTTGCTCACGGTTGGATAAACCTCAAAGTAGGAATGGGTCAATCGAGGCTTAGCCTATGACGAGAAGCGCTTACCTCTGCTTCAAGCAACCAGTGATGCAATTGGACCCAGGTTTGTGTTTAATAAGCCCTACAAAATACAAATGCAACAGAACACTGAGTCAAATGCTAAAAACCATAGAAGGCTCAGGATGTGGAATGTACTCCAGATTACTCAGCCTAAGGATTAAGTGGGGAATGGAAAAAATACCAGCGTGGTCCAAACAAAACTAGCTGGTATCTCAATCGCCACAAAAGAAATAACCAGGAAAGGAATTTCTGACAAAAACACAACAATCTGCACTCATAGCAGACAAGCCCTATTAGCCTTGAACAGATAATGTGTTAAACATTAACCATTAACCATTAACCCTTGATTATCTTTTCAAAAACACCAACCAACCGATGTGTGAAACCTGCAATGAACAACTCACTGTTAAACATATCCTGACAGAATGCCTAAACTTCGCCCCTCAAAGGAATCTGCACAGGCTGATAGGAACGCTAGAAACTATTTTAGGAACAAATTGTAATACAGATAATGTACTTTCGTTCATAGAAGCTATTCACATCAAAAACAAATTGTAAATATGCTAGTAAAATACTGTTCGCTAATAACCAAAATGGTTGATGCGATTAAATAAAAAAAAAAAAAGATAATGTGTTACCTCAGGGTTAGTACGAGAGTGCGAAAAAGATGTAGCCAAAGACTCGGTAGATAATAACATTATCCTGAGTTGGGTTAAAGGGCACGACAGGAGTGAAGGTAATCGCATTACCGACTCTTTAGCCAAGGAAGCGGCTGGACTAAGAATTTTAGGACCCAGTGGCACCTACGGCCTGATAACTTCGACAATTGTGGAACCAGCCAAATGCTACACCCATGCTCAATCCCTAAAGAGATGCAATCTTGCCAGAATCACCCTGGGCAACCCTGGGAAGCTGGTGCTGAAGAAATATCTGGCGATGACCAGTAAAAATCTACGCTTAACAGTATGATTTTTTACTGACCACTGTCAACACCTCCATATTATGGGGATAGTGGAGACACCTCTATGCAGGATGTGTGAACAGAAAGATGAGACTGTCAGGCATGTCCTGTGCGACTGTCCAGAGTTATCGTCAATAAGAGAGTGTGTGTTCGTCGAGTCTTGGCTACACCTGCCGATATAAAGGACATGTCTCCTAGTGACCTGTCTGCCTTCCTGGAAAGGACAGGAAGGACTATGACCTAGGACGTCAACTCTTCGAGAGGATGTGCAACATGTGGCATAAGATTTCCTTCTACAATCCAACTTAGTTGCGCATACTTCACTTACTTTTCTACCAGCTTCAGAAAAGGACATTCATGATGTAATCAACTGTGTCAGAAACTCACACGCTACAGATATTTTCGAACACAGCCATTATTATTTAAAGAGAACATTAAATTTCTTGTTAGCCCCATCACTCATTTAATCAATACTATTTTGTGTGATGGGATATTTCCTGACAAATTGAAAATGGCAAAAGTAATACCCCTTCACAAGGGAGGAGACAGAAGAGAGATCAACAATTATCGGGGAATAGCTTTAGTTCCCATAACGGCGAAAATGGTGGAAAAGTTTATGTATCTTAAAGGAATATTTTGAAAGTAATAAACTGTTCACGGAATGCCAGTTTGGGTTTCGTAATGGTAGAGCTACATCTGATGCAGTGACGAGATTTGTAGATTTTGTAACTGAAGGATTTGAGGCCTCTTCGAACTCATTAGCAATTTTTGCGGATCTCAGCAAAGCTTTTGACTGCGTTTGCCATTATATTCTTATAAAAAAGTTAAAATTTTATGGTTTTTCGCACATAGCTATACAATTGATGATCTCATATCTTCAAAACAGATCACAATCAGTGTACTGTAATAACCAAATCAGTGAAAGTCTTCCGGTAAACAACGGAGTTTCCCAAGGTAGTGTGTTGGGACCACTTTTGTTTTTAATGTATATAAACGACTTACCCGGAAGTATGAATGCCGTAATAACTTTGTTTGCGGATGATGTAACATTCACTGTAAGAATTAGTGATAGATCCTCAGTAATCCAGGAATGGAAAGAAAATATAATACAGCAATCCACAGAATGGTTCACCGCAAATAAACAACAAGAATAAAACCAAAACACTTATTTTTGGAAAGAAAAACACATCTGAAGAACACGTTTTGTTTTTAGGACATAACATTGATCCGAGTCACTGTGATATTTTACATTTATACATTTTTACTTTTTGAATCTATTCTATGTGACGTATGTATATGTACTTCTGTGTAATGACATGAATAAAATATCTATCTATCTATCTAAGTGCTGTGGGCCTAAACTTACTCTCCCTACTCAACAGATACAGAAACAGAAGCAATTGTTCAAAAAGTAACGCAGTCTCACAGAAAAATGACAAAATGTGTAGTCTGTTTGAATGTAGATGACTGAAATATCATTTTTTGGCAACCGTGCGGAAAAACCGTCTTTCCGAATTGGTATATCAGAGTTTTCACGATCTTTTGTTAGTATCTTTGATGTCAATTTTTGTCAGTCCGATCCTGATATTTGTCCTCTATACTTATATTCAGCATGTTCCTTTTTTCATACATTCAGGTATCTGGAAGTTTCACCTATGTAATTATTTCTACAGGGACAAGGTTTACTATAAATACTTTTTTCTGCAACAGTCTGGAAAGTGTCCACTTTCTGAAACCTTTTTTTTTGAGAAAGTAGCGTTTTTCCGGCCTAGTTCGGAAAGTACGTCCTTTCCGGACTAGGCCGGGAAGAATCACATCGTTGTTGTCTCTGTAAATATGAAAAACTTGGTGGGTATTGTTTCGATGAACGCAATTGATCATTACCATAGCAGCAAAATATCGAGTGACAACTGTTTGACCGAAGTTAGTTGACATTTTGATATTTGAAAGTTTGTATGGTTTTTATTCGCAATTATCGCAATAAACTATAGAAAGCAGTAGCGATAGTGACTTTGAAACTATGCCTTACGAGATGTCCAATACGGGAACAACAACCGCAGTAGTAGATGAAACAGCCAAAAAACCCGGAATATAACTTTACACAGTCATCTCCGGCCGTGAAACTTTACATTCTTCGATTATTATTATAATATTGCTTCAAACATACACAAAATCTAAACAAAAAACTGATATTTTCTAACCGAAGATAGCGGTTAAAGATTATTAATAACTATGTTGAATCATTGCATAATAAGCTGTTATAACCTAGACCCTGGTATGTCAAATGCTGGAGTTTGAAAAAATAATCGTTATAGGTCCTATAATCGACGACTCAACAATTAAAAAAATAATGGAATATTATTCGTCCTCAAAAGCAACGTTGGCGTTATATTAAGAAAGTCCGCTTCTTCAAGGAGAACAGGAACTTTTGTCAGTTTCACCAAGGCAGAAATTGAATAATGATAACTATTCAAGTAACGTTGTACTATTAGAAAAAATGGTGAATTTTTAGACCAGTCGAAGCCTTCGAAAAAGAGAAAGAATATAGTAGTAGGTTGGAACCCATTGGAGAGGGAAGAACATATGACAAAATTCATTCACGGGCGATCTGAGAACGAAAAGTGAAAGAGGGTGAGTTTTTAAGGGTAACAAACGGTTAATCTTGATTTCCGGCAAAACTACAAGTCCTATGGAAAAAAGGTGAGTAGCAAAGTTTCAGGTGATAAAAAGATCTAAAACTTTTGTATTGACACTTTTTTCACATAACCTCAAGATTCATGCAAAAAACTCGAATAATCGATTTTTTGTTTTTTTTTTATAGGCTACAAAAAATTTTTTTTCCTCTTCAAATTTGGTGAAAACTTACCTTTCGGTTTTCCAAATGCATTGCAATAATGAACAACTCACTGTTAAACATATCCTGACAGAATGCCTAAACTTCGCCCCTCAAAGGAATCTGCACAGGCTGATAGGAACGCTAGAAACTATTTTAGGAACTTAGGCTACAAAAAATTTTTTTTCCTCTTCAAATTTGGTGAAAACTTACCTTTCGGTTTTCCAAATGCATTGCAATTTTTTGCATCTAGAATATTAAATTTTTCCCCTTGATTCAATATCGAGACATATTTTTGATTTTGATTGTCTAACTTATCAATAGGAAAAACGTCTCTAATTGCCTTTGTGTAGACTTTTTTGAAAAGTATTTTGTTCATTAATTCAGCTTTACCCCCATTGTTTACTGCAATTTGCTTGATGATATTGAGTTCTGTATTGAAATTATCTATTAAAAGAGGAACATTGACTTATCTGTAGCAGCATAAAATTGCATGATTCATAGATTAGTCAATGTTCCTCTTTCAATAGATAATTTCATCAAGCAAAAGTGCATGACGATGTATCTCTGTAGTTGTTCGTAAAATAATTTTTTGCTGCGAACTGGTTTATTTTGGGCAAAAAACCCAAGAGACATTTTTTGTTAACAATGAAACAGGCTATCGAAAATAAATCTTTAAAAGGTAAACAAATGATAAGACAAAAAGTTACATTGGAAATAAATTTTAGGGTTTGCGTTTTCCACCCCTTACAACTATGGGGTAAACCAAATAAATTTCTGGCTAAGTGCCTTTTTGGTAGTACAAAACGTCAGGTTAATTTCAATGTTGTAACTATTTTAGTGCATGTGAAAAAAAATTGTTATACAAATTTTATGTACTGTATCTTAACAAGGGATGCTCCAATGAAATTTCTTTATATGAAAGATCCTATCTTTTTTTCGATGAGGAATCACCTCCTTGAATGTTTTACACTTATTTAGTTACACCCTGTATTGATATATTTCTCAAATAAAGTGTGTGGAGATCTTCTTAAAATACACCCCCTTCAATTTATGTATAATATACCATTTGCACTCACCACTTTTATTGTCCATCAAGTCATGATATCCATCAACCACATATCTGATGTAATGAGTCATTTTGTATAATACTGAAACAAAAAAATTGAAATCAGATTACACTGAAAAAAATGGCGTCACATGTTTCAAAGGCCTAATAAAAATATCAATCAAAATGTTTCCTGGTTGAGTACATGCGTATAGGTAAGTGACAAATATTACAGTACAAAGTAGACGGAAAAAAAACTTTTAAAACAATCTAAAACAATGGTTGTCATGTCCAAATATTCAGATTGCTTGAAGACCTATACGAATAATGTAATGTAAGTGATAATGATCATATAAGCAATCAGTTTCTCAGTTTTCAACTATTTGAATTTCTAAATGACATTTATCAACATGTCTTTCATACAAAAGAGGCAGGAAATATTATCTGAAGACATTCATCGACTTCGTCGCATTCCGATTTGTTAACAGCGTTGAAACAACGTGAACTTCCTTGCCAGGACAAACCACACCTTCAAGGACCAACCATTTCCATAATGATTGACTGTCTTATTTTCCTACATGATCGTCAACACAATATTTATATTAATTCCGTGCCATATGTCTCGTGCGAGCCTTGCAATAAATAACAAAAAAGCAACCTTAGCATACTTACCCACACTGAACTATTTGTCACCTATCTAACGGTATTGACCTCCAATTTTCGACGGGACCGTTGACCAATACCCCCTCAGGAGATTTCGGCAATTTTCCAATCCATCGGATAACCTTTGGAATCTATTGTGCGTGACATTAGGTGCTTGATTGCTATTTTAATTATGATTCCATTATTGGAAATCTTCCGAAGTTAATGACATTGGAATTAGGCGAAATTGAATCACCAGCTGAAAACGGGTTTCTGGAAATTTGTCACCGTCCAAAGATATAATATATGTTTCCACGAACTTCATACTGAATTGCTTAATTTTCAGTAGTCACTACAGAAATGTTTTCACCCATATTAAAAATGAGTCAAAATAAATTCCTGGCTGTTGGACCAAACTGACCCAGAATCTGTTTATCCCACAGGAATAGCTGAAACATTGGTCACATATAGAGCAAACATATCCCTAGGCTTCCAGATTCTACACAGAAAAGAGTTATTCTCCTGAGTGAAGACACAAACATTTATACTTCAGAACATGGAAAGAGGAGGTTAGGAACCCGAACTAATGAATTATCCCAAGTAACTGAGGTCATTCCTCTTGAACGTGAAGTTCTGAAAACTCTATCTCAATTAACTCTAGCCATGTTTTGTTGGAAAAAATAATAAAAATAATAACTCGATACAATACAACTCGAACTCGATACGATATAAGCGTAACTTCTCTATGGCCTGGATCGATTACCGTAAGGCATTTGATACAATTTCGCATGAGCTCATCTTGCATTTGCTCAGATGCCTTGCGGTACCTGACGAAATAGTGAGATGCGTTGATCAACTGATACAACTCTGGCGAACTCGCTTCACCATAACATCTGGTCAAGCAAGAGTCCAAACAGGGTGGGTCACTTTCAGAAGAGGTGTATTTCAGGGTGATTCCCTCAGTCTCCTTCTCTTCTGCATCTCACTATTGCCATTATCCGTTGCGCTCAGAAATACTCGAGGGTATAACTGTGGCACCCCTGGAAACCGGAGGCACAAGGTCACCCATTTATATGGATGATCTTAAACTTTATGCCTCTGGAGAGAAGGATCTCCATCAGTCCTTGAGGATGGTGGAAGAGTACACGCATGCTATCGGTATGAAATTCGGGATAGACAAATGTGCAATGGTCCATCTCAGAAGAGGACGATGCGGGGACTATGGAGAGGATGTGCAGCTCATAGATGGAAGCATCATACACCATCTGGATGCCGGAGAGACGTATACTTACCTCGGGGTGGAACAACGCCACTTACAAGAGGTAACAGCAGTGAAAAACTCTCCGCGGCAAGTATCAGCACAAGTATCAGATCTGGTCACCGGAACTGTCGGGGAAGAACATAGTTGCTGCAACAAATATGCATGCCGTTCCAATCTTACTCTACTCGTTTGGAGTAGTGAAGTGGACTCGGGAGGAGCTGTATCAACTTGACGTAAAGACCCCCGTCGGGGACGGGGTCTTTACCCGTACAACCGTTCCACGGTTGTACATCCTCCGACAACATGAAGACCATGGACTTTTGAGTTTGGAGTATCTATATGACAGAATGGTACTGGATACAGTCTGTAAAGTCGTCAGTAGTTCGGATCTCCTTCTCTGCATGGTCCGTGACCATGAGGGAGCAGGAATTGGAACATTTCTCTTCAGGGCTGCTGCCCGAGCAGCTGATGACTCGGTATAGTTTTCGACACTGAACGAGGTGACCACAGTTCTGTCACCGAGTTGGAACCCGTTCAGCAAAAAGCTCAGATAAAAGCCGCAAAGATCACCTTACTTCTGCGGAAACACAAGGATGAGCCAATGCATGGGGTCTTCTTCAATAACATTGGAGACCTTGACTTATCGCGGCCCTAAGAGTGCTATATTAATATTGACGAGACACCGGTGTTGCCCTACGCTCCGGGGGATATTAAATCCGTTGTGGGGAACGAGAAGTGGAACTATTTGTTCCCAATCCTCAGACTCATGCAAGCAAATAAGCCTGATGTAGTCCTTCTCGAACACCAGAGCAAAACGATATTTGTCGTGGAGTTTTCAGCTCCTGGCGAGACGAATACCGTCAGAAAAGAGGAATAAAAACGGATAAAATATCGAGATTTTCTCTTCGAACTCCGCAGACTCTATTCAGACCACTATGTCAAGATGGTTCTGATTATTGGAATCTATGGTGGACTGATGTCCTCTCTACTCTCGAATCTTAAAATCATACCGGTTTGCCGCACTAAGGCAGAAATCTTAGCCGCACAGATGCAGAAGGCTGTCATTCTTGGCTCACTGCGTTTGCTCAGGGCACATGATTCTCGGACCCAATGATCACTTACCCCACGGTGTGGGGAGTTGTCATTGGTTGATTATGCTGGGGCGCCCTCCTGAATGTATCGGGGCTTCGGGGGATGGGGCCTGACCAGCGCACGCTACGGTGGAAAAAAAAATAATAAATGGTCTTTATTCATTGACATATACATTGACATGGAGAATGAAGATATGGAAGTTGTTTGGCGTAGTGATCTTGAGGTGTTTCGGAAAATCGATGTGACACCATTAGAATATGATTTAAACTGTGATATTCATAGATTCTTCTGAACTTTTTCAAGGACAAAACACGAAAACCACAGGAAAATTGCCAAGGCTCACGAGCGGAGCTCCATACATGAGAATAATACTACAAAGAAGGTATGATCTGAGCTTTATAAAGCATCAAAAGTTGCTGAGGTGTTTACAGTTTTCTGGTTTGGAACAGTGTTCCAAGCTTTTGAGAAGCAGCCTTTGCAAGTCCAGCGACATGATTGTGCCAACCAAGACATATCGGTGTCCATTTCAACCCCCAACAAACTTATCGAAGCAGAAAGCGGAACTGTTTGTCCTGACATTATTATATTCAGTGCGGGGACATTTATCTTTTTGGAAAAACCTGCCTGGGTTCTGAGTGGAATGACTGTGTCAGTTGTCGTTAGCAAAGCAATATATTGGATCCTTGGTTTTCTCCAATAAGTTATTGATAAACAATAAAAAGAGGGTTGTAGACAATATGGATCCCTGGAGAACACCAGCGTTGATGGTGAGGTTATTCGAAAGATATCCATCGATGGTCACTTGCAGGGGTCGTTTTTTCAGGAAGCTGAAGAGCCACCCCCAATAATGATCCGACAAACCATAGCATCGAAGTTTGGCCAGCAATTCCTGAGAAAAGTGAGTGCGGCTAATCTCGACTATTCTTGGATCCATTTCGTGTGAACACAAATATTACAAATGAGTTAATAAAGATGATTACTCAGTCGTTGAGCTTAAGCAAGAATCATCGAGATGAAAATATAAAGAAATTAACGCGGATTACAAATCAGCCTCCTATAACGTGTGAATTTATTGACAAAATGTATTTTCCCATATTCGACTGCGAGAAATGATGCTATAGTCGTACAAGGTAAGAGTTGCAAAAGTGATTGTTACTAATAGAAATTCAAAATAAATGAGCTACAGTCGCAATTGCGTGGTAGAGTGATATAACAATTTAGGTAAATATTGGAAACTACTGGGTGTGGTAAGTTTTACAGAACTTTCAACAAAGGTCTTTGGCGCCCAAGGTTATTGAACCATTTGGAATATTTAATGCATATTGGCTGTTGCAAATTTCTGAAATATTAGTGTATTACTTAGAATTAGTATGAAAAATGTTGCACAAAACCTTAAATATTTTCCACAGACGTATGCCAAGATTAGCAGATGCATCATCACTCATTATTTATTAAGGCAAGGTGTGGAAAATGTATGCTATGGTTTGCAAAGTCCAACATCTACAAAACATCAAAACCCAGTCGCTAATGCTAGGGTGTTTTTCTTGTTCTGTATACCTCTAGAAACTTTAAAATGACAATGGGCTTGTTTCATTATTTTTAGTTCATAGTTCACTTGATAGAAATTTTGAATTGAAAAACAGTGCACTTGGTTTTATCTCTCTAAATACCGTAGTTTTCCCGTAATTAATTATTAAAAATCGAATGGTAGGGTGATGACGTCACGACCCTATTACCGCTTCTTGTTCGATTGACCAATAGAAACAATAGAAATAATCAACATTGCCAAATCGTGAAATTTACGGAGCCTATAAAATTATCAATTTAATTATAGAAGTGTATATGAACCCGTTAACGTTTCGATTAATGAAAAATTCTGCACATGGAATAAAATGTACACGATAAATCATGTTTGGAAATAAGTTCTATATCTAAAATCAGTACACAAAGTCGATATATTACTAAATATTTACCTAAACTTTGATTTTATGCATTATTTAATAATATACAGTGATGAAAATCAAAAAATATAGCAAACTGGATTGAAGAATCATTTTAAATATTCAATTTATTCTACAATCCTCAATCTGTACAACTGCAATTTGTTA